AAAAAAAAAAAAAAAAAAAAAAAAAAAAAAAAAAAAAAAACGGGCAGATGCGAGCAGCCAAAGCCCAAGAGTGATAAATGTTTCTCTTTCATTAATATCACTTCATTTATCCTGGATATACATGAAAACCTTTATGGAAATCAGCTTTGGGTCGTACAGGATATCCTACATAAATTATTATGGGCCCTAGGGGACATATGTTTCTTATATATGTACGAGTCCTGAAAGAATTCCTATAAAGTCCATCAAGTCCATCAAGCCTATGAGACATTGAAAGCTGGTGATACAGACGATTGATTAATAATTAAAATGATACCACTATAATGTGATAATAAATGGGGTCCTAAGGGACGTGTTTTCTATACATCAAGTCTATAAGAGGCAACACTCTCAACTACATCTACATCATTGGAAAGTACAGCATTGATAGCTGGTAATACAGACGATTGTTTAATTAGTAAACTGTTTGGTGCTCACCTTGAATAACATGACTACCCTCCATAGTTACATTCTCCCCTCCTATACTGCATTTATTAGACCCTGATATACAGATATTCATGCAGATATTAACTTCCACCTGGTTATGCTACAATTTGTTCTTTGTTCTCATATTTAACTTCTCCCTCCCTCCCTCGCTCTAACTCCGTCGTTCAACCAACTGTTGCCACTATAATGTTCTCATAAAGAAGGGAGCATTTGGCTCGCACTCACACACATACATGCAGTCTTGCACACATACACAATCTCACACACGCACACACACGTTTACACAAACAAGCACACACGCAGAGAGAGAGAAAGAAAGAAAGAGAGAGAGAGAGAGAGAGAGATGGGGGCATGCGCCACACACCTGCTCTGAATAACATAGCTTAACCATGACCTTACATCGTCCTGCCTTCACAAATACAAACATGACTTGTTATTGCTACATGCCGTTTTCTTACCCTGAACAATCACTTCATTTTAAGGTCGCCCATTAAATAAAATTGCACTACACCACCACATCATCGGCTGATCTCCTTGTGTTGACGTTGTGACAATATTCACGTACAAAGGATAAAACGATGACATTGGAGACCAACTGAGTGATTATGTGAAGAAAAAAAAAGTTGATTTTTTTTCTCTTCCTTTTTCCCCCTTTTCCTCTTCTCTGTACAATAAAGGTAACCACAGCACAGTACCCCTAGAGATGCTCCCATTTTACATTTATGTCTCCTTGATCTAAGCTGATGTAAGAAATAGGATCTGTCATTTAAAAGAATGGAACAAACTCAAGTGTGATGTTTGAAATTTGGCCGATGATGGCCGCTTTTATTGGAAGTCCCATTAATAAAAAGAAATGAAGCATATTAATAATAAATATTGAATATTGTTGTTAGATGATATAAACATTATGTGTGCGCCAGAAGTATCTACTTTTAAATAATAATTCCAAACAAATAGTGCACACATTTCAAATTGTGGGGTTGCAAAGAGGCCAACCGCCATTTTTACACGGTTATGTGTCTCCGTTAATATCACCGAAATACAAGACACGGACATATGACCGAAATACAAACTACAGAAATATCACCGATATACAAGCTACAGAAATATCACCGAAATACAAGCTACAGAAATATCACCGAAATAGAAGCTATAAAATAACGTTAACATCACATCGTAATACAGGGCTCAGCAGTATATAGTCGTCTGAGTAAATATCACTTCATTCATCCTTGATACATGAAAACCTTTATGGAAACTCCCTATAGGGCATCCAGAGGGCTCCTAGGGGATATATGTTACCTATGCATTTAGGAGGCTGATATAATTTCTATCGAGTCCCGTTAAGACTTAAAGAACGACCTATAAGAAATTTTCGTAAGGGAAGACAGCACACGCAGCTACATCTATATCATTACTTGTGGAAAGTACTGCATTGATAGCTGGTGATACAGATGATTGTTTAATTAGTAAACTGTTTTGTCTGTGATGTCTAGGTGACCATAGAAAGGAATTTCCTGCATCTTTCAATTGCTCACATAAAACCAACATAGTTCTAGATCTTTTCCACGCATATATTTGTGCAGTTGTTCCACAAAATCAATATAATTTTCCTATTATACTCCCCCCTTGCCTGCTCTAACTCCATTGTTCCAACAAACGTTACAATTAAAGTGTGTTAGTAAAAGAAGCATTTTGGCTCATGCACACACACACACACACACACACACACACACACACATAGTCTCGCACACACACAATTTCAATCAAGCACATGCACCGCAAAAACAGAGAGAGAGAGAGAGAGAGAGAGATACGAGGAGGGGGGCATACACCTGCTCTGAATAGCAGCATATAGCTTTTAACCATAACCTTACATCGCCTTCAATTAAGCAAACATGACCGTCTGCTATTGCTACACGTTTTTTGTTCATTTGCTTACCAGGTACCTGTTCGTTAATTGATTCACTTTATTTTGAGGTTGCGTTCTACATAAAAGTGCACTACATGTACGAGTACATATATGCCCTAGGACATGAATACTTTACTTGGTTTTATTTTTGGCTCGTGGGAAAGAGAGAAAAATCGCCGTTTTTTTTTTTCTAACATTATTTAGTTTTTTTCCTGAGTTACTGTCAAAGTGACCCTGAATGGAGTTTGTAATCATTTCATTTCGCCATCGTGTTCTATTATCTTCTTCTATGCAAGTTTTCACAGTGCATGTCATACGGTAGTTTTCTTTTCTAGCTAGCAAAAAATTACGACCCTGCATATTTTACAGTTGACATGGTCCTTTTTAAGTTGTGGGCATATAATACACCGCTCCTACTGTTTAGATCTGTAATGACGCACTGCACTAAGCAACAGTGGCTTTGTTATGAGTAACTTCATCAATACCAATCACACTCTCCATTGTATAGAGTACTTATTCTTTAAAATGCTTTGTCATTATTTTGGTTACCCGCAAAAAGGTGAAATCAATGCGAGGCAGGTTTAAAATCAATAACCCGAGAGGGTCTGCGTGCTCATAGCTCTGTGCCCAGCCTGGGAGGTAAAGTCACACGATGGCCGAGAAAGAATTTTTCGACGTCTTCAGTGAGAACTTTTTAACGTGTCATATATGTCTGGAGAAATATAAAGACCCCAGAATGCTCCCCTGTTACCACTCGTTCTGTCTGGAATGTATTGCTGACCATGGAGCCAAGAATGGTGTCCAGAACAAGTTATCCTGTCCCGTATGTCGCCAAGAGTTCCCCGTACCACCAGGTGGGTTACAAACTCTCGTGAAAAACTTCTTCTTAATAAAAGTAATAGACTTCATGAAAGATCAAAAAGCACCAAGGGGAAGACTTTGTGAGTATTGTAACCATAAAGAGGCCACTTTCATGTGCCAAGGATGTCCAGAAACCAACCAACTGTGCGCTAAATGCCGTGATTTGCATGACAAAATCCCGTCTTGTAAGGGCCATTCGTTAATACCTTTGTCACAAGTTGATTTCCCAGTTAACCCAGCTGACATTCGAGTTCAGTTACGTCACTCGTTAAATAAAGCTCAATACTGCGACAAACACGACGGAGAAACGCTGGCATTCTATTGTGAAAACGATGACACTGTCATATGCAGAGAATGTAATGTAGAAACGCACAGCAAACACGAACTCCAAAAATTAGGTGATGTAGTGAAAGTTCAACGAGATCTAATACAAGCCAAGCTTAAATGTCTGACAACAGAAAAACTGACTCGTTTTGAAAAGGCAGAAAAAGTCATTTTGGAAACTGAAGACGGGCTGACTGAAAATCAGACAAAGGTTCTTCGTTTGGTGGATTCTCAAAAATTAGTTATGACTAAGGAGATGCATGAAAACAGTAAAACATTTGAAAGAGAAATCAAAGATTATTATCAACAAATAGAGAAGGACGTACGTCAACAGACAGACGCGTATTTGGCCACTATTCAACAGCATTTGGAAACTTATGAAACAAAAGTACAGTCAGAATACATCAAAATGCAGAAAGCTATAGATCACAAAAGCAACGAAATAACGACAGAAGTTAAGGCACTCACCTCCACGCAGGTGAAAACTTTAGAAGCTGAAAAGGACAAGCTAGAAATGAACAAGATTTCCATTCAAAGCATCCGTGATTTCGCTCAGCAGCTCTCAGACACCGGTTCTGACATCGAGGTCATAACCCACTTTAAAAAACTCCAAACTAGAATTCAGGAGTTAGAGACAACAGAACCAGTCTTTGAAACCAAGATCATCGACATAACATTTACACCAGGGCAAACAGAAATGGACGTTGTGCTACAGTTTTCTAAAATCCCTGAACCACAACTGTCCATCAAAACGGGGTCAATTACGGCCAAAACATACCGGGGTCCATTAGATGTATGTTTTGGAAGTTTGAAACAAAAGAGAGCGTACTATCCTAAGCTGATGGAATTTCAGAAAGTTGTATGGCTTGATAATCCAGAGAGGAATATCTGTTTTCATGTTGAGGGTCGGCCATTGAATATCCAGTGCACAGATAACGGATGCACTTTAGTTGCACATGGTTACTGGGAAAAAACAGTGTCC